GCAGAGGGAAGCTCCAGTGGTTCCTGGTTATTTTTTAATTCTCACTTTTAGGCGGCAGGGATATAACTACTACGTTCTCCCATCGGGGTAAGTGGGCAGTCATTTTACAACTCTGTACTGATAGATTTTATAACATGGATGTTTCCTCACGAGTCCTGTCTTAAATGAGAAAGCAAAATACAAAACGAACAAAACGCCCCTCAACTGTCCCTAATCGTTTTTTTCCACTCTCGAAACTGCTTCTTGGGAAGGCTGGCTTCCGCTGGAGGGGGGAAAAGCGCTCGGGCTGGGGTTCTGTCAAGATGACAACTCCCCAGATCAAAAAAAGACTTCAGAGACCGGCCTAGGGATGGTCACTGGACAGCAGATGACAACGCCCAGATGGAGCCTCGGGCAGGGCGGCACTGCGGGCCCTTACGGATTCAGTTTTCCCGTCTGTGAATCTGTCCCTCTCCGTTTCTCTAGGGGAGGTTGTGAGGGCTAAAAGTGCCGGCGGTCACATCGTTCACACGAATGGGGAGTTGGGGCTGCAGCGTTCCTTCCGGGGTATCTGAAATTGCCAAATCGTCCCTCTCCCACCCACTCCTCGGGCGCAGCCCTCACCGCCTCGGTGCCACCTGGACGCCTCAGGCATGGCGGAACGGCACCACTCGGCCGGTTCGTCCGCCGCGGCCCTGCGGCGCTTGCGCGTTAGCCTCGCGGCGCGCGGCCCAGTCCTACGCCTGCGCGAGCCTTCCAGCGCCGCCAGGGGCGCCAGCTGCTCGGCCGGTCGCGGGCGCGCCTGCGCCGCCAGGACCCTGTACGCCTTTCGCCCGAGGCGGGCTGCGGATGGCGACGCTTGTCTCCCGCAGAGGGCCAACTTCTGGGACAAACCCGGCTGCGGGCTTAAAAAATCGTAGTCATTAATTAGAACCGGTTTGTCTTTCTTGAATACCTTTAACATTTATCGCCTTGTTTAGTTTCCACATCCACCTCCGTGAAAGGTAGGTATTTTTGTCCTCATTTTAGGCCCGAAGAAACCGAGGCACTGAGAGATTAAATAATGTACCCCAAATTGGGGCAAAATCTGCCGGATGCCAAAACCCGAATGCCATGACCTCCCGCTGCCGCTGCTACTTGCAGATTAACTGAGAGTTGTGGCTAGAAGTGGCTTCCACTCTCCTTTCCACTTGATGTTAATTAAAATAGATTTTTTAAAAATCTGCAGTGATTATGTAAAAGGGTAGGCCCCAACAGCAGTCTTTGGGAGCTCAGACCCACATCTGGCCCAGAAGCTTTGCAAAGATGAGATTTGTAAACCAGCTATAGAAAAGGCAAAAATAAATAAAAAATTGTAAATTGAGGTAGTCAAAAGCCCACCAGGATGGAAGACAGGATAAAAAGGACAATGGAATGGAATTCAGTCCAAAGGCCCCAGGGCAGCTTGCAGAGAAAACCATTAAGCTGTTTTGAAAGTAAAAGATAAACCCACTTTTGTTATTTCCCTGAAAGAGATGTGGAGTGATGTTGATAAATGCTGTTTTATGTGTAGATAAAAAGCAAAACTAGGCTACACAGTAGCGAGGGTCAAAAACTACCATTGATAAAAGGCACAGGAGAAGCAAAAGGCTGACCGCCAGTGAACTAGAGGCCTGAGAGAAAAAAAGGGCTGCTGCCCTCGCTAGAGAACAGTTTAATGAAAGGATTTGGGCTTTCCTGCACTGGGACTCTCAGATGCTCACAAAATGTAAACATCTTTCTATGTAACAGGTTATCTGAACTGGAAATTGTTGAAGGAAAAACACTCGAATATGGTATTCCAATTTACATCATTATTATTATTATCACAGATGGAAGTCTGTGTTGCCGGCTGCTCAAACTCCTAGGCTCAAGGGATCCTTCTGCCATGACACCCCCGCTCGAATTTGCATTAAATAGAAGAATTGAGCAGATGACCTCCAGAAACTATTCTTATTCCTTTGAGCACAGTAGACTCAGAGATCCTGAAGAATTAGAGACCTGTTTGGTTAAAACAAAATCGTGAATTCAGGAGCGATTCAGTCATGATTTAAGTTACTATGGTTGCTTTTGAAGTACAAACCATGGAAAGTCTAACTCAGTTTCAGGAGGAATTGGCTGAACTGTAAGTGAGCTTCGTATTGTTCTAGAATATAATATTGTTGTTCTTTTGAAACTTGTTATTCATAGCTTTTGCTAAGTGTTGTTTAATATATAAAAACCAGAAGTTTTGGCCAGGTGTGGCTCATGCCTGTAATCTTAGCACTCTGGGAGGCCGAGGCGGGAGGGAAGATTGCTTGAGCTCAGGAGTTGAGACCAGCCTGAGCAAGAGCGAGACCCAGTCTCTAAAAAAAAAAAAAAAAAAAATCAGAAGTTTTATTTTAAAGATCTAGACTTTTGTGAAGAGGAAACAGTCTGTTTTAAATATTTGAATTTTATTCTATTTTGACATAAAGCTACGGAACACTCACATAACCAATACCATGTTAGTATTCCTACAAGAGAAAACAGTATTCAGAAAGCAGTACCAGTTAACCTTATTACAAGCATTAAATTTGTTTGAAAAGTTGATATTAATTCATAACCTGTAATTGTTAAGTATCTATGACTTAAGTGTTAAAATCCCACATTTTAAGATAGTTTTCTACAATTACTAATCCATATACCCATATTTTCTGTAGGTAAATGGGAAGAGTAGATAGAATGTGCAAGAGTCAAAGGATAAATAATATTATAAATATATACTAACTATATTACCTAATTTAAGTCATAATCTGTTAATACAGCTATGGATTTATTTCAAAAATGTAATTGAACATATTCTTAATAGTGTAGTTGTGTGTTTTCCAATGTTGGTGAAGTTATTAAAGTTCTTCACTTTCATAAAGTCCAGATTGAGCTGCCAGACGCTGAAATTCTCCTTCTGGGTTAAAAGCTGGTTTCACACCCAAACCTCTCCCGTTAAGTGCTAAATATTTGCTGAAGGTTGGTCGAACGCGTAACTGCTTAGGAGCTGGAAGAGTTTGGTTTGGACGGGCTGAAATAGATCAAATAAAAGCTAATTCAGAAAACCTGTTCTGAACAAATTGGTTGTGCTAGGTATTTATTAGATAGGAGAAGAAAAAAAGTCAAAAC